GGGGTGCACGGAGGGGCGGGAGCCCCCCCAAATAAAGGGGCGGGCCGGCCTCCAGCGCTCCCCGCCCACAACCAAGTGCCCGCCCCCGGATGGGTGTTCGCTGGCTCCCACCCCGGCGATCCCAGGCCTCGCAGAGACTCACCCTCCGGCACCGGGTGACTCAGAACGCACGCTCGCCCGTCGCAGCGGAGGGACAGCGGTGGGGGCGCGTGGGGGCGGGGTGTGGCGCAGGTGTCAGGTTTCTAAGGGGGGGGGCTGAGAGGGCGGATACCACTCAAGCAGGCGACCGGAAGCTCTGCCTCCAACATGGCCGCGCCCAGGGATCTGGTTGGAAGCTGTCCCTTTACCGTCATGTGACGTAAGCCCTCGCCCCACCCGTCTGCAGCCACTCCCTGTCTCTGTCCCCAAGCTCGAGAGGGCCACGTGACCGTCTCGGGGCCAGTCACGTGAGGCGCGGATCCCGGCTGGGAGGGGGTTGGCAGAGGGGTCCGGGGTGGCAGTGAAGGAGGAAGATGGCGGGAAGCAGGGGGTCCCCGTGCTGCTGCTGCAAGTTGTGCTGCTGCTGCGGTGAGCGTGAGACCCGCACCCCCGAGGAGCTGGTGAGGAGCTGGCGGGGCAGTGCTGGGGAGGGGGCGGTTGCTATGGGACTGCGAGCGGCGTTGCTGGGGGTGGTGCCGGGCCGAGCTGGGCCTGCAGGTGGCAGCGGGTGGGGCTTGCGGACTGCAGCCTGGGTTCTGGAAGCCTCTGCGCTGCGTCACATGCCCAAGTCCGGGGTCTTTTCTCATAACCCTTCCTGGAATCTGAGGGAGAATTCAGGCTAGCTTCAGTTAATCCCGTCCATATTTTGTTTTATTTCCATCTGAAAAGAGTTTTGAATGAAACAAGCGTTTTGCAGAATGAGCTCCTTCGCAGGAATTCGTGCTTATCATGCAGCTGGCTTACTTTCTTCAGCCCTTGCTCCCTCTATCCCTCACCCTTTCTGGGTCACTGACAATCCAGCTTCCCTCTGCAGAGCACCCTGGGAAAACTTGAGTTGTGTCCCCAGAGTTGACAGGTCCCTTCTGATTTCAAATTCAGCGCATTGTCAGATGAAACGTGAATTTTTCCCCCCTTAAGCTGGCATCCGACATCTTTGAGGTGTCCTGAAGACGAGTGGTTATTTGGAGAATGTACCAATAGAAAGAAGAGCTCAGCTAGATGACTGTAGATCCTCACCCACATAGCCCCCCACCCCAAAAGTTTTTCTTCTTTCTTTCTTTTTTTTTTTTTTAAGTCAGGGCAAGGGGACATAGAGTGATGGAGAGGATGTGGCTATTTTTTTTTTTTTTGAGACAGTTCTTACTCTGTTGCCCTGGCTACAGTGCAGTGGCGTCATCATAGCCCACTGCATCCTCAAACTCCTGGGCTCAAGCGATCCTCTTGCCTCAGCCTCCCAAGTAGCTGGGACTATAGGCACACACCACTACACCAGGCTAATTTTTCCTATTTTTAGCAGAGATGGGGTCTCGCTCTTGGTCAGGCTGGTCTTGAACTCCTGCCCTGAAGCGATCTTCCTGCCTCAACCTCCCAGAGTGTTAGGGTTACAGGCATGAGCTACCACACCCAGGCACCCCAGAAGTTTTTTTTTTGCCATCTTGTTCCCGTTTGATGATGGCTCCAGATGATTTGGAAGTGAGCAACTGATTTCAATAAATACTTCTGCCTCCTTCCACTCTTAGCCACTAAAAAGGGCTCCCTCTATGGATCTGTTTTTCTAGACCATCCTTGGAGAAACACAGGAGGAGGAGGATGAGATCCTTCCTAGGAAAGACTATGAGGTGAGATGCTAAGATGCTATCTTGGGTAACTAAAGTAGTGAGTGGCCTGGTCACTTCAGGTGGAAGCACTGTGATTCCAACCAGTGATGCTCTTTGATCTTCTGTCCCAGGGAGTGAGAGGGTAAGAGATAACTTTCTTCTGGGAAAGGGGCTGTTTAACAAGCCCTTTTCTCACCTTAAACCCAAAACGAGGTCTAATGTCTTTATGCTTTTATAGATCTGTGGCACCTTAACCTGGACAGCATATGTATTTGCCATCTAACTGTTTGCCTTTACAACTTACAGAGACCCAGAGTGAAAGCCACTGACAGTGTATGTTCCTAGTAGGCATGTGCTCCTAACTTGTTATGGAGGCCTTGCTTCTCTTCTGAGAGAGCTCAGTTTTCAGACGATTGTCTTCCTGCCCAAGCAGTTTCTCTCAGAAGTGTTCTTGGTTGTAGTTGCCAGTTTCCAGTATGGAACTCTTAGAGTACGTGCGTTTTTCCTAAGGCCAACACTGCTGGGGTGGAACTTAAAAAGGTTGACTTTTTATCATTTAACCAGTTCATGTCTTTTCCATGACTTTTGAAAGGACAAAAGCCATGGTTGTGACAGAAAATTCTTGAACTATATACAAAAAGAAGGTAGAGAAAAACCTATAACCCCACTCATTAAAAGATGGCTATTAACATCTTACTAAATGTCCTACTGCATCCTTATGCATGTTTATATACATGCTTTTCTTAAGTAACAAAATTGAGAGTCTACTAATTATACTATTTTAATCTGTCCTGCTCCTCCTCCACTTTTTAACAATTGTTATTATTGTTGTTATTTTTATTATTATTATTATTTTTTGAGACAGGGTCTTTTGCCCTGGCTAGAATGCAGTGGTGTCATCATAGCTCACTGCAACCTCAAACTCCTGGGCAAAAGCGATCCACCTGAGTAGGTGGGACTACAGGTGTGTACCACCGTGCCTAACTAATTTAAAAAATTTTTTTTTAGAGACAGAGGTCTCACCCAGGCTGGTCTTGAACTCTTGGTCTCAAACATTCCTTGGCCTCCCAAAGTGCTGGAATTATAGGATTTGTAGTGTAGTATGGGTTTTTTTTTTTTAACGTTTATTGTTGAGAATTTCAAACATATACAAAAATGGACAGAATAGTCTACTAAAGCCCCTGTCCTCGTCACACAGATTCTACAGTCATTCAGCTCGTGCCCAACCTTGTTTTGTCTATGTTTTCATCATCCACTTCTCCCTTCCCACATTATTTTGAAGGAATTCTATATATCATACCATTTCACCCATAAATAATTTGCTGTGCATATCTAGAGGATAAGGACTTTATTTTTTTAGCGTAACACAATACTATTGTCACATCTAAAAAAAAAAAAAGTAACAATTCCTTGCCATCAAATACCCATTTTTTAGTTTTCTTATAAATGTCATATATATTTTAACTTTGTTTTAATCAGGTTCTAAGTAAGGTCCTCCCACTGCATTTATTTGATATATCTTTTAAATTTCTTTTAATCTATAGATTCCTCTTTCATCTCCCACCCTTGTATTTGACAGCATAATTAGGACCCTGGAATTTTCTACCGTCTGGATTTTGCTGGTTGTACCCCATGGTACTATACATGGTATAGTTTAATATGCTACTCTAATGGGACTGCTTTTAATGAATCACAAAGCACTGTATCCACTGCTGCATTTTCTCCTATTTCTTAAGTATTTGTTTCCTTATACACAGCTGGGAGGTTTGCAGGAATTAGTGTGAGATGTTCCGTGTTGTGCTGTCACCTTGCACTCTTTCACCGAGCCCTGTTGTGTACTCCTGACTGTGTTAGTACGACTAAGCCTGTCTCGCAGCCTTCATCCTGCTTCCAGGAGTTCACTGAGGCTTCTCCACAGACCCTGCTGTTGTTGCTTAGGTTCCTTCACTCCTTCCACTAATGTTTATAATACACTTGGCCTTCAGCTGATATGCATATTCATGTAAATTTTATGGGTTAATGTTTTTTCTTGTGAGTCATTAATGTTTCTCAATTAACCATCTCTGAGTATGAGCTTCTTGAGAGCATTTGCCCTGTATAAGAGCAAATTCAGTTAGGCACTTAATCAAAAAAGTCTACTTGGATTTTATTTATTAAGGGTCAACTAGAAAAACCTTCTGTTGAAAATATTTCTAAAATGTTCTCCTTCTCCTTCCTGCCTCAGGAAGAGTTCATTGCACATACTTGACTTTCATTATAAATTTACAAGATGTTAGAATTCCCGTTTTGACATCCATTCTCATTATAGTTGGTTTGAATAATAACTTCCCAGCTGTGTGATGTGCCATTGCACACAGTAATGCTTTCGTGCAGGTCACAGAGCCTGTATTGCTCCTTTGAGTTAGGAAGCAGCACCCATTAGAGTAGAAGACTTAGAATTAAAGGCCTTCCCCTCTGGACCATAGCAACATCCCTAGCTCATGGCCAGTCTAAGGTGCTTTTTGTATGAGCACTACGGTGTTCTTTCCCGGTTAAATTTGCGCTGTGTCACCTCCACTTGCCCTCATGGCCAGGTGCCATTCTGCTCATAACCATGTGCAACAGCCCTGTAGGACACCTATAAAATTTCATTTAAGGCTGGGCGCAGTGGCTCATGGCTGTAATCCTAGCACTCTGGGAGGCCCAGTCAGGAGGATCGCTTGAGGTCTGGAGTTTGAGACCAGCCTGAACAAGAGCACAGCCTCGCCTTTACTTAAAAAAATAGAAAAATTGGCTGGGCGTGGTGGCGTGCGCCTGTAATTCTAGCTACTCGGGAGGCTGAGGCAGGAGGAGCACTTGAGCCCAGGAGTTTGAGGTTGCTGTGAGCTAGGCTGACGCCATGGTGCGCTAGCCCAGGTGACAGAGCCAGATTCTGTCTCAAAAAAAAAAAAAAGGAATCATGGTGACTGCAGAGCCACCATGGCAACCACAGGCAGGCCGACAGAGTGCACAGGACCATTTGGCAGTGTGATGGAGAAAATAAGACAGATACTTAAAAACGAAACAAAACACTACTCTTGGACAGCAACGGCAAACGCATAGTGAAAATCAATGTGTGGTGACATGGTGCAACAGAGGAATGATCAGGTCAGGTTCATTCCTTTCAGGGAATGTCCACCACCGGTAAGACCGGTGGACTTAACCATCTGGGGTTCTAGACTCTTTCTGAGAATCGGCTGAAATCACTGCTCCTCTCCCCTGAAACACACACAAGTGCACAGTACACAGAATACACATGGTTGCATCCAAGATCAAGGCATGGATTCCAGAATAAAAACCCTTGCGCCAACGCTTTCTCTTACTAGGATGCTCGTTTTGACTATGACCTAAAACTCCAGATTCCCAG